CCCCCCCCCCGCCCAAATCCTACAGAAATTTGAGTTGGGTACAAATAATGTACAACTGTACCATTGTAAAAGGTAAAAAGGAAAAAGGACCCAATTTTTAACCTCAGTAGATTAAAAATTCTTATGATTTCTCCCAACCAATTTAGTTTCCCGTTTATTTCCACTTCTTTACAAAGTGCACCTATATGCCTACACAGACCAGAAAGAGGAAAGCAGGATTTTCATGGCTGCTTGGTTCTTAATTCATTATCAAATATTTGAATTATGTTTAGAAAAAAAATTAACTTACATCCATTTTTATTTCTTTCATTGTGTTTTTTTCTTTAAAGCAGGACTTTTGCAGTAACGAGACAATTGGCTTGATCCAAAAGAAAAAAAAAAGAAAAGAAAAACCCCAACAACAAAAAAGTTAAAAATAAAAAAAAAAAAATAAAAAGCTCGTCACAGAGTTAAGCTTATGTGGTTTACATTATCAAACCCCTCTGTTCATTGGGGCATTTTCATCAGAAGTATAGCTAAATATGTACATTGTATGTTATACTGGAGCTTGTGTTCACGAGAGGCATCAGATCATAACAATCAATAGAATACACTTCACATTGGCAATAGCTTTGTTTTCAGTCATTTACGTACAGTATGGTTTAATAATGGGAGATTTAAATGTTTTTCTTTTTTTTTTTGTTGTTTTTGTTTTTTCATATAAAATATGCTATGGAAAACGGACGTTCCCCTTAGAACGATGCTTTCCCTCGTCTTGTTAGCTGTCGCTGTGTCTGGGATTTGACGGATGCGTGAAGCTCAAACTGATTGTCTCTCTCTTCCCCCTCTCCAGTGATCTCAACCTCATTTCTGCCCTTCCTCCCTGTGAAGTCCACCGGGGCCTGGATGCCCAAGACAGCACACGCACTGGCTGGCTGCGTGTGGACGTGGTGGCCGCACTGTCGTAAGTTTACCCAAGCAGCTAATCTGCATTTTTAAGCGACAGCTGCCAACACAACAGAACAAAATGCTTCAACCTCCAAAGTCTGCGAGTTGGATGTTTTTATGCCTGTGATGGTTTTTGCTGTGCTAGAAGATAGCTGCGAGACAGTTTGGTAAATGCCTGTATCTCACCCCTCGCTAGTGCAGGATTGCCTTCCCCAAGAGTTTTTTTCCCAACAGTTTGTCTGATCTAGCTGTCTGTTTTGAGGAATAATAGGGTAGTTGGGAGAGGGGGGGCTGTTTTTTTTTTTTTAAATAAATCTTTCCTGTTAGGGAAAAGAACGAAGAAATTGTGTCAAAATAATCACCATCTTGGGCACATTAAAATCCTGTATTACGGCTACATTTTTGCTTTTTTTCCCTCCCCCCCCGTCTTATCCT